AACACGCAAACTACCACAGTACGACAACCTGACAGACGAGTGGTGGCTTTATAATAGGTGATGTCATGCAACATTTGTCCTTTTGCTATTGATTTATCTCACTCAGCATGTCTTCCAGATCCACCCATGTTGTAAGATGGTTTATATATTCATCATTAATTTTTATTATTGCATTGTATTCTACTTGATGTACCACTGTTTATTCATTTTTTACATTGCTGGGCACTTGGGTTGATTGCATGATTTTGCTGTTGTGAACAATGGGTGTGCACGTGTCTCTGTTCATGTATCAGCTTTTATTTCTCTAGATATATGCCTAGGCATGCGATTACTGAATCATGTGGTAATTTTGTTTCTAGCTTTCCTAGCGAAGGCCTTACTATTTGCTATAATGGTTGTGCCATTTTGCGGTTCCACAGGCAGTAGACAAGAGTTCCAATTTCCCAACAACCTTGCTACCAGCATGCTAGCATTTGTTCTGTTTTGATCAGTGCCATTATTGCTGGGGTATCTCATTGTAATTTTGGTTGGCATCTCTCAAATGACTAACAATCATTATGAACATCCTTTCATGTGTTTGTTAGCCACCTGAATCTATTCTCTGGTGAAGTATCTGTTTTCTGAGGCACCTCTTGGTAGACTTGAACTGCCAGCCTTTTGATTAATAGCGAGCACATCAACTGTTTGCGCCACTCAGGGACTCCACAAGAGAGGCCGCATATCCCAGAGTCCAGAGTGTTGCCAGCCTCAATAGGCCACTAGGATAGAGATCATTCTTTGCCCAGTACTGTAAGCTTAATGCAAGGCCCAGTACCTATGAAGCAGACCAGGAACTCAGTAAGTAGACCCACTGATTCATTTTTACCACCACCACCACCACCACCCCCCCCCCAAACACACACATGGTGCTGTGGGGTAATGTGCTAGATGGCAAAGTCAGTTTGAACCACAAGTTCGGTGAATTCAGGCTCATCAGCCACTCCTTGAAACACAATACTGGGTCACTACGCGTTAGAACTGACTCGATGGCATTTCACAACAAACAACAACCTATATTAAAAAATAATGGTTTCAAGCAGTAATTTTCAAAGTATCTGATGAAGGACCAATTTTTAAACTTAAAACATTACTGTGACATTTCTAAGTGCTTACTCCCCAATTTGGCGCTCTGGTAGCATAGTGGTTGAGTCGGGCTGCTAGCCTCACGGTCGGCCATGCCACAGGAGAAAGATAAGGGTTTCTGCTCCCGTAAAGATTTACAGCCTTGGAAAGCCTGTGCAGGGTTTTCCATGGCACACCACCACTCTCCATGTCTTCACACAGAAAAGCCAGTCTGTGCCCACACTTTTGAGCAGCCTGAGTTTAAAATATGTCAGTTAGATGTGGGCTCAAATCCTGCCTCCATCTGTAAAATAAGGGACACTAGATTTCTTCTTGAAGAAAACAATGAAACCTGTAAGGACAACACATACAGGGACACTTCATTTTATTGTGCTTAGTGTTACAGACTGAAGGTTTGTGGCGAGCTGGCATTCAGGCAAGTCTACAGGGCCATTTTTCTAACAGCATGTGCTTACTGTGTCACATTTTGGTAATTCTCACAGTATTTCAAACTTTTTCATAATGCTGTTGCACACTTGGAGCCATGGTGTGGCACTGTAGGATAAGCACTGGCATGCTAACTGTAAGGTCAGTGGTTCAAACCCACCAGCCACTCCTCGGAAAATCCTATCCAAAGTCTCTATGAGTCAGAATTGACTTGATGGCATTTAACAAAAGCACACTTGATAGACTGTAGTACAATGTAAAAATAACTTCAGTCTGTACTGGGGATCATCACAGTCAACTCAACTTTAAAGTGTTGAATAGCAAAGATGTCAGTTTGAGCAATAAGGTGCCTCTGACCCAAGCCATGGTATTTTCAATAGACTCATATGTATGCTAAAGTTGGACAGTGAATAAGTAAGACCATAGAACTGATACATTTGAATTACGCTGTTGGAGGAGAATATTGACATTACCATGGACTGCCAAAAGAAAAAGTAGATCTGTGCTGGAAGAAGTACAGCTAGAATTCTCTTTGGAGGGTAGGATGGCCAGACTTCATCTCTCATGCTTCGTCACTGGAGAACGATATCATGTTTAGTGAAGTGGATGGTCAGAGAAGAAGAGGAAGACCCCCAGCGAGATGGATTGGCACAGTGACAGCATCAATGGGCTCAATCGTAGTAATGATTGGGAGGTTAGTCCAGTACCAACCAGGCAGTGTTTTGTTCTGTTGTGCATAGGGTTGCTATGAGTTGGTACTGACTCGATGGCACCTAACAACAAATGCCCTGGGGAATCAAGAACTGTGTGTGCCTTGCTTTACTGCAATATCTGCTTTATTGCATGGGTTTGTCAAGCCTGCAGCCATGTCTCCAAGGTGCATCTGACACAGACTAGATGCTGAGGGTGGCACAGTGTGTTGTCTTTCTGTTGGGCTCAGTCACGCATAGTGCTGGGACATAAGCCGGTGGCTGTCTCCAGGGAACTTACACTAGAAATGGAAAGGTCAGACAGAAGCATGAAGTGATGAGACAGAAAGGGACTTGGGTAAAGGACTCAGGTGACTCAAGGGAGAGATCAATGATTTTCAGCTAGGGAGGGAGATGCTGAGCCAGACCTTAACGCAAGGGAGGATTTACAGGGTGAGAGAAAAGGAGTCTATTTCATAGAGGAGCCATCAGCTTAACCCCTTTGTGGCCCATGGGACATATATAACCCACCAACATTTTCAGCCTTTCAGTTTTCTTGAGAAGCCACTACCCCAGTTGTAGTAAATGTCACCACCTGGTATAAATTTGTATATACTGTTATAACATTGTATAACCTGTAAAACTTTGTGACTTTCAAGAAATAGGCCTCGTGCCACCAACCTTATCACCAGAGTTCACTTGGGACATATGTGCCCCCACATAATTGTGTCAAAATCCATATGGTTTTTGTTAAGTGCCATCAAGTTGGTTCTGACTCATAGCGACCGTGTATAGGGTTTCCAAGGAGCAGCTGGTAGGTTTCTACCACTGACCTGGCAGTTCCCAGTCCAGGACTTCCATTATTGAAAACACACAATATCAACAAATTTAAAGCAGAAAATGATTCAGTCATGAAAGGGTTAAATGGTGACGGACAGGTCTATTCAGACAGAATGCTAAAAAACCAATTTGCAGTTTAAACCAAGGGCTTCTGGGCTGTGTAGGAAGAAGACTGTATTGGATAGGTACAAGGGAACCATCAAAGTTTGCCTGAAGTAGTGAGGTAAGAACATTAGCCAGTAGTGTGCTGGCTGGAAGAGTGACTCGGGGGGGCAGGAGACCACTGAGGTGGCCCTGGTGGGCAGCTCTAAGGGTCATTTGTGGATGCCACCGCTAAGTTGAGTAGATGAGACAGGACGACTCAGCTACTCATATGAGTTGTGGGGGTCAGAATGCTGACACAAGGCAAAGGATCCAAAGACAGACTGTGGTCCCCAACCTTAGCTCTCTGTCACCTCATGTCCCAGACATCTCAAGACTCTGTGACAGCAGAAAAATTCATAGCCATTGATTTTGTAATTAACAGTTTATCAATGCCATCGATACAGACGCGCTGATGGATTGCGAAGCAATTAATCTTGCAATGTTATTTTATTTCATTTTTGGTTGAAGACAGCTGCCAATTTTGGCCTCCTTGGGGAGAGTGGGGGAGGGTGGAAGGATGGAGAGGGGGAGCTGGTGGGAGTCAGGGTGGGCCTTTCAGAGCCTTGCAGGGATCATGTTGGATGAGCATTCTGAAAACAGATGCAAGGGTGGGAATGGAGCTCGCTTCATCTCCAACTGGCAAAGGAGGGGTGCTGGACCCTGGTGACAACAGAGGAACGTGGAGGGGGGATGTAGGTGTGGGACAGTGACACCAGCTGTTCAAGGGCACTGGCTCTCAGTCTAAGTCCACACAAAAGCGCTATAATAGGTAACATCAATGAGTGCCAAGTAATGTTCTATTTCATTTCATCTTCATCCTCACCCTCACTCATTACAGAGGAGGAACAGCCTCAGAGGGGCTTAGTAACTTGGCCAAGGTCACACAGCACCTAAGGTTCCAGTCTTTCCTGCCCCATTCTACTGCTGACCTCCCACGAAACCAGACAGTACTAATGTGGACACCTCTGGTGCCAGCTACTTAGTATTCTAAACCCATCCAGCATTCAGGAAACTCACCTCACCCTCCTTGGCAGCCCCCTCCTAGCTTCAAGTTCTCTCCATTCACAAGCATCCCACCTTAGATGGGCACTGGGTGATACCTTTCAGGACAGAGGCCAGGATCATTGGAAAATATCAAGAATGCTTGTTATCTGTACTCCCAGAAAGTAGGTTCCAAGCCTGACCAGCGGTCAGCTAGTGTCCCCCTGTTGCCCAATTCATTTGAACCCCCAATTCCTGCCCTGAATCCAAAGCCTAAGATTCCAGACAACTTCCAACAGCTTGCCTCCAACACCATGACCCGTGTCCAGCTCTGACCCGCACCAGAGGGCACTCAACCCCTTTATCTAAGTCTGAATTCTGTAAGATCAGAGGCTGTGAAGAGGGTGTGCCTGGCAGCAGCAGTGATGATGGTGATGATGGTACTTCTGGCTCTGCTGGCCAGGCATCTTTGTGCCGTTTTAACCCCTTCAGGTAGCTACCACCCCATTTCACAAATGTTGAAAACGAGGCACAGAGGAATTCGGTAACTTAAAGCCGCACAGCTAGCGCAAGAGGAAGGCTTTTGAGTTCATCTGGTACCTCCAGGTGACCCTGCGGGTCTCCACTGCCACCTTCCGTAGCAGAAGGCCTCTATCTGGGTCGGACCCCCAGTGCTGTCGTTAACCTCTGAGACCTTTCAAATGAGCAGGATGGATGGGCAGCAGAGGCCCAGGGCCCCCCATTGGCCGGCCGGACAGCACTTCCCGAACCCGCTCACGTTTGCCCTTGCGCCCGCAGATTCCATGTACATTGAGGACCTGGAGGCGGTCCAGAAGCTGCAGGACCTGCTGCACGAGGCGCTGCAGGACTACGAGCTGAGCCAGCGCCACGAGGAGCCTCGGAGGACGGGCAAGCTGCTGCTGACGCTGCCCCTGCTGCGGCAGACGGCGGCCAAGGCCGTGCAGCACTTCTACAGCGTCAAACTGCAAGGCAAGGTGCCCATGCACAAACTCTTCCTGGAAATGCTGGAGGCCAAGGTCTGACGGGCCGCCCAAAGACAGACCCACGGACTGCGAGGAGACCTCCACAGCCACCAGCCTCGCCCTTCAGCCCTGTGTCCTGGCTCCCAGCAGTCCCAGGGGAGGGGCTCCTGGCTCCGGCTGTGTGTGCACAGACTCCTGGTGCAGGGGTTGGGGCGGGGTGGGGGGCAGGGCGTGGGGCGCATCTGTAACCTGCTTTTTCTTTGGTATGTTTCTCCTCTCCATGGGCTGTGCTAAGACCGGGGCCAGGGCTGACTCCCCCAGGGACTGGTAGAGATGGTGGAAGCGACCCTGATCATCCAATAAACCTCCAAGAGGCAGCATGTACATTTCCTCCCTCCCCGCGCCCGCCCACCTCCCCATCCTCCGCTGGGGGGCAGTGCTCAGGGCTCCCTGGAGGTCAGTTTCCCAGAGGGCCTGCCAGCCCTGAGACCTGCATCTCTCTCGGCTCCCAGCCAGGGCTCACTGGCAGGAGAATAGCAGCCAGGATACATGCATTCTCCTGTCCTGGTACTCCACCCCACCTCCACTGGGCCCCCAGGGCCCCCCATACTTCCTCCTTCCCCTACCTCAGAACCCACTCAGACAGGGTGCAGCCAGCAAGGCCAACGGAACTACACCAGCTCAGAAGAGCAGGATCCAGGCAACACTCCCCAGAGAACCCCTCCTTCCCTCATCAGCCCTCCGACTTAGGGCAGGTCCAGAGTCTGTAGCCTGGCCCCATCCTAGGGCATCCTGGGGCTCTGAGTCAAGATTGGCAGTCCTGGGAAGGTTAGGGGGCGAGATGCAAGTACAGAAAGCCCCAGAAGAAGAAATAAGTAAACCAGGGAGCCCTGAAGAGGGAGTTCAGTGGGGTTGCTCACCAGCCTGCCAACTAACAGAAGCAGTTGACACCAGACACCCCCCTCCCCCACTGCATTCCAAAGGCCTGGAATGCTCCCCCCAGAGGACTGTCTCCAGCCCCTGGATCCCACAGCCCTGGTCAGTTTACAAGGTGACAGCCATCCCAGTTTTCCCAGGGTGCTGTCTTCTCAGCACTGCAAGTCCCATGTCCGAGGAAACCCTCAGTCCAGGGCACACCTCTGTGGGGGCCGTGGAAGCCAGTGTGAGCTGGAACCCTCAGTCTGGTTCTTGTAGGCTGCCCAAGGCTGTTAAGAACATTCCCTAGGATAAAAATGGGTTTGGAAAAGGCCCCTTCCAATGAAATGGAAAACTCTGGATCGAAAGTGAGATCTTCCCAGACTGCAGGGCAGCTCTGATTTTAGCTCACATCGACAATTTCAAGGATTCCAAGAGACCTCAGATCCAATGAAATGAACCACCTACCCATCCCTTTTGTCTACTGGGAACCTAAGAACCATTGAACTACAGCCCCACTATCTCCCGTAGTTCTTCCTGTTGTCCCTGATCTGAATGGACACTTGCAGGGTAAAACCTTCCACATCAAGGAACCTGGGGGTGTCGAAGCTAACTTTCTGGAGGTGTGCCCAGGAGGTCTGAGCTGGAGAAGGTTCACATGAGAGAACTCGGGGTGTGCTTGTGGAGGTCCCTAAGCCCCTTGTCCTGTGTGCTTGTGAGTGGTGGGGGAAGAGTGGAACCTCTCACTTCTCCTGCACCCCACTATTGAAGGACTACTGCACAAGCAAGAGGCCCTGGGTCCATCTTCTTCAGAAAAAGTCATCTCTGGTTAACTGTCAACCATCAGGGTTTAGGTCTGTGGGTTAGAGGGGCGGTTTTCAGAACACACAGCAACTTCGCCTCACTGGACCTAGGACTTGTGCAGTGCCCAGAGTTACAGCCCATTCATTCTACCAGGAGGGTGAGGACACTGTGGTCCTGGTGGTTTGACGCTGGTGGGGTGGAAGCTGCAGTTATACATAAAGCAGTTCTATTGCAAAAGTGAATGAGTGCTAGCGGTGGGAACTCCATCAAATGGCATGTACTTCTGGAAGAAGAATTAGGAACTAACTTAATTGGAAGCTGAGGCACATGTTGGACCTCTTGGGGGCAAGGGGACTGATGGACTTCATACTAGGGCTGGTGAAGTGAGATGTCCTGTACCTCCTCAAATAATGGAACTCAAATTTACCTTCCAATCTATGCTGGGATTCTGAAAGAGACAGCTGCCCTTCTCCACTGTGTTCTCATGATTCAGGTCATCTGAAACAAACCAAGAAATAAACATAAAAAGTCTAACCATGGAGAGAAAAGATGCTATTGGCTAGGTTTTGTTTGGTCCCCTTGCCCCCATCCTTTCGGAAGGTTCTAGACTGGCTTGTCACATGAGCCCAAGAGTGTCTCCTGCTTTTTGCGTACAGGAAACTGACATTCCCCCAATCAGAGGCTCTCCAGACCAGAGCAGGATATTGGTTGGGAGGTTGCAGCCAGGCGTCTCTTCAGACTCCTCCCCCTGCCTGTGCAGAGGGTGACATGCTTCGGACAAGGACATAGAAGGGCCCAGAGCCTATGCCCATGGAACAGCACCAAAGAAAAGCTCTATGTGGAAAGATCATTTTATTTTCTAATAATGATAAGACGGCTGAAATGGCTTCTTAAGATGTATATATATTTTTTAAGGTGGCAGTCTCTCATTTCAACATCACTCATCTATGTGTCCCTGTGTCTCCCAAAGACCCCTGTGTAAATCAAGCGCCCTGGGATTCTTCTGTCCTGGTCCTGTGTATCTGGAATTAAATAAATAAGGAAAGTCCGACTGGAGCGTTTCTTCACACGCCATCTTTGGGGTCACTGGGCCCTGGACAGCAATACCCTTGGGTTTCAGACAGGCTAGGAGAAGCAACTAGGAGAAACAAATCAGCACTGGGTTTAACTGGAAATTTGGGGTGTTTAAAAAGTTCAGTAGCAACATTCAGGAAGAAAGAGTGTGGTGCAGGTCTGAGGAAATCTCACTGCTGCTCCCCTTCAACACCATGGCAACCCACGTGTTACAGAGTAAAACTACTCTGTAGGACTCTCTTGGCTATAATTTTTATGGAAAGAGTTTGCCAGCTCTTTCTTCCATGGAACACTGGGGTGGGTTTAGACCACCAGCCTTGCTTTAGATTAGTGGTCAATCTCAAACTGCTTGAGCCACCAAGTTATATGAGGGTAAGTTAAAAAGTATTACCACAACACTATAGAAACCTTTATGAACCAAAAATATCAAAAAATATTATCATAACATCCTGCATCTAGGTCATTTCTGAATTTTGTTCTCTTCCATCCATACCATGTCAAAAATGGCAGTTTGGGCATTTTTGAGGGACTCAAATCTTTCTTTCCAATGTTCTGAGTTTTGGGAACAAGAAGGCTAAAGAGGCAAGATCAGGGCTGTAGAGTGGTTGGGGTAAGGTTTTCCTCCCAAAATTCTCATAAAACAGTGCTTGGTACCCTTGAAGAATGAGCCAGGTGCATTGTTAGGATGGGGGAAGAAAAATTCCTCAGTGCAGGTTTTCTTAAAACTTCTTCCTAATGTTGTTGTTGTTACGTGCCATCGAGTCGGGTCCGACCCATAGCGATCCTGTACAGGGTTTCCGAGGGTGTAAATCTTTATGGGAGTAGAAAGCCTCATCTTTCTCCCGCGGAGTGGCTGGTAGTTTCGAACCGCTGACCTTAAGGTTCGCAGCCCGATTCGTAACCACTATACTACCAGAGCTCCTTATAATCCCTGTAATTGTCCTGTCTGGAGAGGAAAATCTTCTAAGATGACCTCTTTGCCTTTAATTTAACAGACCCAGAAGATTCTGTCAGAAGCCACTGTTTTGATTGGACTTTTTGTTGTTTTTAATTTAAGGAACCCTATTGAGCCTGAAGGGGTCCTGTTGCACTGTATGATAAGCACTGGACTGTTAACCATAAAATTGACGCTTCAAACCCACTGGCTGCTTCTTGGAAACCCTATGTAGGGTCACTATGAGTCAAAACTGATTTGACAGCACTTGAGCAACAACAATGAGACGAAGACAAGTATATTACTGAGAGAACTTACCTGAAGCCATCTACTGATCACAGGCGTGTTTAAACATGTTTTGTGCAGAATAAATATGTGCATGTATGAACTAGAACCCTAGTATTCTTACGTGCCATCAAGTTGGTTCTGACCCATAGCGACCCTGTATTGGTTTCAGAGGAGTGGATTTTGAGCTTGAATCACTGGCTTTGCTGTTCAAACCGACTTTGCAGTCCAGTGCATTAACCCAGAGCTCCATACCAGACGGTAGGAGTACAGTTATCCAGCTCATGGATTCATTTTAGGTCATTTCCCAGTTTATCTTCATACCTGGTACATGTGTATGCGTGCAAAAACATACAGCTAGTATTTATACTGCTACCTTAAGAAAGAAAGAATTACAAAAGAGTCATCCCTAATATATGTTGTTAAGTGCTGTCGAGTCAGTTCCGACCCATAGCAACACTGTATAGGGTTTCCGAGGAGCAGCTGGTGAGCTTGAACTGCTGACCTTGCAGTTCAAACGGCTTTGCAGTCTGGCGCATTAACCCACAGCGCCACACCAGGATTCCATTTCTCTAATATATAGTACAATCAAAATTCTTATTGGATTGCCCGTATTTTAGGATTTTTCTCAGCTACTTTTTCTATTTGTACAGATAACTGTGATCGGACTAGCTAAATGTTTATTGTCTTAAAGATTTAACTTTTCTTCACTTCTCTTCATTAATTGTACAGGTCATTGTTAAGTGCCATCTAGTTAGTTCTTACTCAGCGACCCTTTGCAGGGTTTCCAAGGAACAGCTGGTGGTTAGCTGCCCAGTGTTTATCCTATAACACCACACCACGACTCCCCTTTTGGCTAGTGAAAGAAATGCAGCTTCTAACAGGAAGAAAGCACAAGTAAGATTCATTCACCACACCTGGGGCTGTGATACAATAAATTTCTTAATATGGCTCTCCTGGTCATGTATTGGAGTCCTGGTATGGTGCTGTGGGTTAATGAGCTGGACTGCAAGGTCAGTTTGAGCCACAAGGTCGGTGATTCAAGCCCACCAGTTGCTCCTCAGAAACTCTACACAGGGTCACTATGGGTCAGAACTGATCCTACAGCACTTAACAATAACAAGTTCATGTATTATGGAGTCCTAGTGTGGCGCTATGGGTTAATGCCCAGACTGCAAAGTCGTTTGAACTGCAAGGTCAGCAGTTCAAGCTCACCAGCTTCTCCTCGGAAACCCTGTACAGGCTTGCTATGGGTCAGAAGTGACTTGACGGCACTTCACAACAACAACAAAGTGTGGCACTGTAGAATCTGCACTGGACTGCTAGCTGTAAGCTCGA